GTTGTCAGGGCTACGTCCTGATCCAGGCTACTTCCTCCTCATTAAGCTCGCAGAAGGGCCCATTAGTGTACAAGTGCAGTTGTTGACACCTTGGAAAATAAGTATTGCCAAATAAACATGGAGCTGTCTTCGCTAACTAGTACTGCACTTGGTTTCTGGGTGAAGAATCTACAATTTGAGCTACAAAATACATCTTTCGATTTCATTTAACGGTATATTTTTTTATTGAAGCCTTAGAACAACAAGGCTTAGATTCTACAGCAATTTACTCAAAGTCATCAGTTTTGTTTGATTACCAAGCGCAAAAGTTTCATCCATGTTGCTCTAGTTCATTTCTTCGAATGAGCCTCATTAAGGCGTGAGCCTCATAATGACATAAAGCAGTCGACACATGTTTATTCATATTTAAAGCATGAAAAATTCAAACAGGCTCGAAATGTCAAGCGGTTCATGTGATGTGACGTGACGTGATGCGAGTTAAAGAGTCAACAGGAAAACAGCTTTCATAGATCTAAACCCGAAAATATTTACCTTTCATCAAGCTGGAGAAAGGAATAAAAAGAAAGTGGTTAGAGATAACGGGAAAAAAGACATGAACAAAAGGCCAAAAAAAGAAAGAAAGAAAGAAAGGAACTACAATTATCATCGATATTTACGTGTTCCATTTAGAAATATGGTCTTTTTAGCGTCGTATTCGTTTCTATACTGAATAAAGCAGCAGAAGTGCAGCCATTTTGAATGACTTGAATACCTGCAGCTACAAGTTACAACATCGAATTAATTCACTATTCGCATTTCCAGTTCTGCTAAACGTAAATGTTAATATGATTCAGCTGACAAATTCACAAAGTTCTCTCACGATTCGAGGATGGGTTCGGAAGCAATTCTAATGTTTATTAAACAACCAAACAAAGACACTAAGACAACTAGGCAAAACACTACGGCATGAAAGACGGAGAAACAGTGCAGACAATGGCTATATATACAAGTGTGCTCATTAACAGAAACGTGAATCTGGTACCGGTGGTCATGTGACATGTAGTGCAGTGCAGTGGCTGATGGGAACTGGAGTCCAGAGTTTCCTGATCCATGACAAGCTGTCACCCATCATGATTTTTAAATTATGATTTTCTAAATAGTCAGATGTCTGGTGTGACGCGTCCATCACTTGGTGTTTTAAGTAATGACAGTTCATACAGGCTCTTGGATATTGAGCCCTTCGATTAGGACAGATCTGTTCATATTCTCCCCTGAACATGCTCCACTTTTTTAGTTTGCACTAGACTATTAGCACTTTTGCCTTCTCTGTTAATTAATAATATAATTCAAGGCGCTGCCTTAGCATGAATATGGGAGCTTATGTGATATGAGAGAGAGAGAGAGAGAGAGAGAGAGACCAGGTTCACATGTAGTCCGTTTGCAGTGCGTTTTATTTCCCCGTGCTCACGTTAACAGGTGAGAGCGTTCACACCGCACACGGATGTGGAGCGGCATAGTGTGTAGTTCTCGATCAGAATGAACACAGATTGACAAGAAAATGTAGTAATTTCATTATATGTAAAGTATATTTTTTAATGTGAAATAAAGATTAAAATGCAAAAGAAAACACATGGGAGGCCGTTTCCTCGGCTGTTTGTCTATGGTAAGCTTTCATTTAAAATGTTTGTGACGCTGCCTTTTCACATAAGAGAAGTACCATGTTTAAATGTTTTACCACTTGCTTGAGCAAGTATATATATACACACACACACACACACACATAAGTAATGAATGGAATATTACATTGTTAAATACACAAATAACTAAACGCATGAACAACAACAATTATAATAGTTACTATTATTATAATATACTGTAACAACATAAAACACAAATATGAAAAATAAACAACAACAATAACAATAACAATAATAATAATAATAATCATCATCATCATCATCATAATCATAATGGAAGTGTAATCTATACAATGAACACACATTTTTACACAACTTAAAAGTCTATAAACTTAAATATTAACTAGAAACTTTGATGAAACTACTGAAATGTTGAACTGTAAACTTTTTCTGCAGTGTTTTCAAAGAGCTGCGGCCCTGAAACTCGATAATAAGCTCCACTGTCAGCCTATTTTTAAGCTCTCGGCAGCTAATTTCCCATAAACGCTGCAATTAACGGCTGTTTTGACGGCAATGGTGTGAAGAGACACTCGGAAAACGGGATGAAAGCGAGCTAAGGAACGTGGCCGCGTCTCTGGAGGTTAATATTTCATTTTCAGCCTCATTTGCGCCTCATCAGAAAAAAGCGAGCACGATTCTCTGAGCTCTGACCGAGTCTTAGTGCACAACTTGTACCGCAACTAAATCACTTTTGTTGTCTATTTGTCTGGAAAATGATGGTAGCCACCTCAGACATCAGTGTGTGTGTGTGTGTGTGTGTGTGTGTGTGTGTGTGTGTGAATGGAGTGGAAAAGCAGTGAAGTGTGAAACTGCATGCTTTGTTGAGTGCATTTGTCTGATTTAGCTCAGATGAGCAGTCAGATATGTGTGACGCCTTTGTCCGGAGGACCGGCATCATTTGTAACTTGGCTCAGTTGTTAAGTCTCAATTTGATCCAATCAGAAAGGACTGTGCAGTGCTAGCCGGGGTGCCGTCGCCTGAGTGAGTGACAACATAACACACGAACGTAATATAGACACGGCGCTCAAACAAGCGCCACATGTAGCTTTGTCATATTTATGTATGATATCTGTCATATAAACAGCTCCAGGGTGTCTGCTTCCGTCTTAATCTCGGGTTACTGTCTGTGCTGAGTTTCATATGTGCACGCTGGGTTTCCTCCAGGTTCTCCGGTTTCCTCCGATCACCCTCAAACATGCCAGTGGATAGATTGGCATTAATCCAACATAACTAAAAATGGATAAACCATAGTACCTGATATTCTTTAATATATAAAAGAAAATTGTTAGCTGTGGCAAACTGCTGCAGTATAAGAGAAAAAATACACTTTAGGACGTGGTATTATAAAGAAATGATCTATATAGTAACAGTAACTCAACAGCTTTATCAGACCACTCCATCACTGATTATTTTACCATAACAGAATGTCCAGCCTTTTTTGCTCTCTTTCTTATTTATCCCACTTAAATTCCTAAATGTCCAAGAAAATCGATTTTTAAAGTAATGCTGCTTGTCTATAAACCACTCAGTTGCTAAGGACCAGAATATATCCTGAAATTACTTGACGACTACAAACCTACCAAGTGTCTGAGTTCACTAGGAACCAGTGAGAAGGTGCCTAACGTTAGGACCCAGCATGATGAGGCAGCGTTTAGCTTCGACGCTTCCTGGAACCGGCTGCTAAAGCTCAGAAATGACCCAAATCTATTTTGTCTTTTATTTCCTCTTTATTTTTTATGTATCAAACACTTGTGTATGAAGTGTGCTATAAAAATTAACTTGCCTTGCCTTGGAGCACAAGTTGCAGTTCCCATAACATCAGGTGCTTTTGTTTACATTTCTATGTATAGCCTTGTTTCCATTCTAGTCCTCTAGTCCCCTCCATCCCAATCCAGTCATTGGTTTGTTACCTGATTGGGTGCACCTGTACCGTGTTAGAGCATTGATTATTTTGTCTATTTATACCCTGCTATTTCTTTATCGCTCTGCAATGTTTTATCAAACTATATGTCTGAGACTTGGTCTGTGTTTCTAGTGCCTGGTTTTGATTCCTTGTTTAACCCAGTCTGCCTGCCTGTCTGACCCTCACTTGGATTTCTGGCATTTCCTATGTACGGTATTAAACATGGTTCAAAAATGCTGTTGTCAACAGTATAATTGGCCCTGCTCTTCAGTGACTGATGGCATTTCTCTGTCTCTCTTGTCAGTCAGATCAATTCTAGCCAATAGCATTTGAAATGTCAAGTAGGGGTGTGGCAACATGTGTGGTACAGGATGGCAGCTGCTACCCTTTAAAATAAGCCTGAACACACCAGTTCCTTAGGGGTTTATTACTTACTATGCAATACATACGAAAAAGACCCATTTATATCTAGCTCATTTTGGTTCATTAGAATTCATCATTGTAGTGTTCAAATTCGTTGAGTATTAAGAGCAGCTAAGAAGCCAGCACAGTCATTCATTCTGCACCAGATATTCTGCAACCACACACCTTCACAATCCCATATTTAAAAACAAACGTGCCAGTGATTAAAAGTCACCTGTAAATGAATAAGAGACAAGTGATGATAGCTCCAAAATATGTGAATATAGCCGAGGCTGTGTTTTGGAAGTGAATTTCTGAGACAGTTGTGGAGGACGATATCACAGCAGGCTCTAATACAATTCATCCAACTCATAAAACATTTAGAATTTAGGTGAGGAGTTGTTTCAGGTGTGTTCATGCCTGGAGAATTCTAAATAAAATGTGTCCCACTGTGTTTTGGTGCATTCAACCTACGAGAAAGCGGTTTGAGAATGTGGTCAGTGCAGCCTGTGTTGACTGCTGAAACAATCACTGACTCCTGGACTAAGAGCACCCCCAAGAGGAGGTTGTTGCAGTGTGTGTGTGTGTGTGTCTATGTGTGTGTGTGTGTGTGTGTGTGTGTGTGTGTGTGTGTGTGTGTGTGTGTGTGTGTGGTGTGTGTGTGTGTGTGTGTGCATGTGTGTGTGCCCTGGAATCAGATTACGACTATGACGTTTCAAGCTTTGTATCTGGATTAAATCAAAGAAACAAACTATGCAGTGTATATGAGGGATACGAGAAAGAGGCAAAGGAGTGTAGTAGTTAGTAGTAGTAGTAGTAGTAGTAGTAGTAGTAGTAGTAGTAGTAGTTTTGCAAGGATTATTCATCCATTCATTAATTTTCCTCCTGCTCGTCCTGATGCAGGTTTCAATATCAGCAGGCTGAGAAAGTCATCCCAGATTTCTCCATCCCAGGCCACAGATTCCAGCTCCTCCAGAGGGGAACCCCCAGTCTTTCCCAAGTCAACTGTGAGATAGTAGGGCAATGGGATCTCAGTGGTTAGAACATTGGACTACTGATCGGAAGGTTGCGAGTTCAAATCTCAGCATTGCCACGTTGCTGGGCCCTTGAGCCAGCAAGCCATTAACCCTGAACTGCTCAGTTGTAGAAATGAGATAAATGTAAGTTGCTGTGGATAAGGGTGTCTGCCAAATACCAAAAATGTAAACGTGAGATATATTTATCTATCTCTGTATTATCTGTCTGGGGATCTCCATTCAGTGGGTCTCTACTGTTAGCCAACCTGATAAGGTACCTCAATTGGTTCATCCAGTTGCGAACTCGTGGTCAAGCCGAGCAACCTGTGAGAATCTCATTTCCTTCACCCGTACTCACAGTGTTATTCTTTCAGTCTCTAGTAAACTCCACCACCACAGACAAGGACAAGAAGTCTAACACAGTGCCGCAGACCGACCCGTCTGTCAATCACACAGTTACTCGAGAATCAAATTCCAAGATGATTGGATTGTTGCTCAGGATTTCTGTTTGTAAAATTTATGTTACCAATACAGTCCTGTTCTCTGGAAAGCAGAAAGAGAGCTGTTTATAACCTTTCATGTTTTGTTCTCCTATTTTATTTCTCCAGTAGAAAGCCTGAATGTTTTGTTTAATCACTGTGTCATTCAGCAATGGAAATTAGAGTCAGCCTTTATCCAGCTACAGCTTAAACAGCCCTTTAGAAATGCTGTTTTGACAGTGTTTGTGCATGTTTGTGTGGGAGTGGAAGTGAATTTCTGGGATGTGAGTTTCTTTCGTTATGCTTTAGCTCATCAATGAGCCCTTTTCACAAACACTGCAAGTAAAATCTGTCCCTGTTAGCCTTACAGCTGATTGTTTACCACAGACCTGCCAGCATTATTATTAGTCTCACTCACAGTGGAAAGATTCTTCACCTCATCTTTGTCAACACTGCCAAGACTTAAACTTGTTTCCAGAATTGTTAAACACCCAGCAAAGAAGGATTCTAAGCTGAGTAAAGGGTATAAATTGGAAAAGGAAAAAAAAGTGGAAGAAGCCATTCCGATATCACGGTATGGTAATGTTAACTAATGTTAGCATTAATAATAAGTATAGCTAGATATCTACTTAATTTATGTAGTAGTAATGCTGTATGTTTCCATGGATCACTTTATAAAATTTCATGGATCATTTTATGAATTGAGAGCTTAGTTAACAGTTGTAGTGAGAATGATGTTGTGCGTTAAATATAGTCGGCAGTGGCATTGAGGTAGACAGAGCTAGATGCTACAGGTCAAAGATGAGGGATGAAGAGCCACACCTGATTTGACTCAATGGTTTATTATTGAGTTATATCATTACAAGGCTTATTTGCTCCATCCTAATGGTGCAAAAGCATAATAAGTGGTGTGTGTGTGTGTGTGTGTGTGTGTGTGTGTGTGTGTGTGTGTGTGTGTGTGTGTGTGTGTGAGTACAAAATTTGTAATGTAATAATGTCTGGATTGGCAGAAGGATATTAAGAATGACATAGCCTCACCAGTGTGCAGGCAGAGGGAATATCATTAAACAGCGTTGCCAGGTTGCAGTAAAATGTCCAGTCCAACTACATATCAAAAGCCACACAAAGGACCTGAAACTAGTCCAAAAATCCAAGATTTGGAAAAAGGAGATGCCGTTTTTCTTCTTTTTATCAGCCTTTGCATGGGAAACAAGGATACCGTGGTGCACACGCTTTTCTGATGTATGGACGTTATCCACTCAAGAATCCCTTTTTTCTTCTTCAAATCTTTGCAATATGTCCTACAATAGAAATGGTTCTGTACATCATGAACACACTGTCTGTACTTACACACTTATTTAAGTACTTGCTGTAAAACAAGATCTTAGTATCCATGGAATATTTTTAAACATTTAAAAACTATGACAAACTGGCAACCCTCTTTTTAACTGTCCCATCTATTACTCCTTGTCTGTTGAAAATGTACCTAGAGTGAGCATGGGGCAGCATGATTCCGGGCCCAAAGGGCCTCTATTAGCATTTGTTGCATTTCTCATTTTTTACCACTAGGTGCAGTAATAATGATAAATCTAAGTGGGACAGTGAGCACAATGGAATATCTCCTTATATCTGTAATCTGAAACATTTTTTTCATCTTTGGTCACTCAAAAGAGGTTATTGGTATTTCAACTGGCTTTTAAATGTATGAAGATTTTAATAAGAAATTGAGAAATGAAGATTAACATTGGACATTTTATCAGGTAAATCTAAAATATTGCCTATATTAACCCTGTCCATCAATGGAAAAGGACTACTACTGTATACTATATATCACCAACCGGTACATATTATTTGGGCTGAAAACCTATTTTCCTAGAGTTTTCAGTGGAACAACACCTTCCAGTTGTAGAAAGTGGTGTGTATGTATATCATAAGATTCCTTGTAGGGAGAAAACCACAGGTAGTCCGCCCTCCTCATCTAAGAGCTAATTAGCAGTAATAGTGGTACTCATTTAAAAAAGGTATCACACAGATAAGGACAGATGTGTTGCAAAATGGAGAATCTGATCTTTTCTAATCAGATTTGAGCCACATTACGATAGGGTCTGAGATCAGACACGTATTTGATATGTGTGATTGTGATATGCGTCATACTTGTGATTATTTTTTCACACTACACATATCAGTGTGTCATCATCATCCTGTGGCAGCCTGCCAGCAGCGGCTAATGTGAAAATAAAAATCGAGAACTGTCAGCAATGCTGTAAAAGCACTTCTTGCTCTAATCATGAACAAACACGCTGTTCGTTCATGACATCCTCCAAAGTAAAAAAGGCTTGTACTGCTGTTTTGTTCATTTCACCACGTCAACAATCGATTATCTTGGTGGGAAAAAATGATCTTGAACGAACACTCCCACACGCCTCTGCACAAGGATGCACAGATATACATGCTTTACCATAAACTCAAAATACATATGAGAACAGAAGAAGCTTTCTCGGTTTCTCTGTAACATGACATGCCGTGTTTTCTGTCTTCAAGAGAGCTGCTAGGAACTTATAGGAAATTAAAATGTAACCATAAGCAGATAAAAAGTGTTAAGGTGTCACTCATTAGTTATTTTCTTTTAAATATTCAAACAAGCTTTCCAACAGGGTTATTAAATATTAGATGAACATAAAGCCATATTTACGATTTGTCTTTAGTGGCTTAGTGGTTAACACGTTCCCCTCACACCTCCAAGGTTTGGGGTTCGAGTCCCACCGTGGCCCTCTGTGGGCGGAGTTTGCATGTTCTCCTCGTGCTGCGGGGGTTTCCTCCGGGTACTCCGGTTTCCTCCCCCAGTCCAAACACATGCATGGTAGGCTGATGGGCGTGTCTAAAGTGTCCGTAGTGTATGAACGTGTGTGTGAGTGTGAGTGTGTGTGTGATTGTGCCCTGCGATGGACTGGCACCCTGTCCAGGGTGTACCCCGCCTCGTGCCCCATGCTCCCTGGGATAGACTCCAGGTTCCCCGTGACCCTGAAGGATAAGCAGGGTATAGAAAATGGATTGATTTTTGGATGAATGATTTTTGATTTTCACCCAAGTACATTTTTCTCTGTACATTTTTCCACCTGTGGTCTTTTCTTCAAATGCAGCTGACCTTTGAAGTATCACTGTAGTGAGCAACATCTGCTACTTGGAGGTGTAGCTACAGGATAGCCAAGACAGGCAGTTGCATGGGTCCCCCTGAAGGTCTACATTAAGTCCATGAAAATGTCAGTATACCAGGTTCAGGGTCTACTCGCCTAGGTCCTCCACAGTCCCTAGAATCGCCTCGGAGGCTAATGCAGGATCACCTGTTTTCTTATGTCAGTGATCTGATCATGCTGAAATGGTGGATAAAACCGGGCTAAATCTGAATCATCTAAAAACAAATGTGACTTTTGGTTGTTTTGCTTTAGGTAAAGGATTAGTATTCCAGCAGTTTGGGATTTGCAGAAAAAAAAAATCCTAATTGATTTTCTGTCCAAACACAGCTCATTGTAATAGGACCGTTCTTCTCTCTCCTAATGTCAGTTTGACCCTGTGTGAACATGCATATGCGCATGCACGCACACACACACACACACACACACACACACACACACACACACGCACGCACACACACACACACGCCACACACACACACACACACACACACACACACACACACACACACACACACACACACGCACACACACACGGCACGCACACACACACACACACACACACACACACACACACACACACACACACACACACACACACACACACACGCACACCTGCAGCTTGCTGTATTGATCAGCCTGCTTGTTGTTAGTCCAAATGACTAGAGTTAAAAATCTTCAGCTGCAGCACATCCACAAATCTATAATGTTTCTACGTCCATATACTAAATAGTAAAAATATACATAGTAAAAAATGTCAAAACAATCGATTGTATATACGTTCAGCTTGAACAAGTATACACACAGGAAAAGAAGAACATTTACCTCCGTTTTACAATTTATTTACAAACAAGCACGTGGGTGTATTCTTCAACACGACAACACAAGCCCAAATATAATCAGAATCATCAGAAAATCCTAAGAAAAGAACCAAAAGGAAGGTCTTGTGTTGCGATGAAATCATTTACTGTATGCTATTCATTTCCTCGATTCATATTATAGCTTACACTACAATACTTATAGTATTCTTACTGTTTTATTACGAAACACAAAAGATTATAGAATATGAAACTGCTAAAATGAAAGATTACACAATAAGCAACTGTTCTAGTGGTATATTTTTGTATAATCGTTCATTTAAGCAGATTTGTATCATATAATTTTGCATTTTAGAAGTTTTTATTGTATAATTGTTCATTTAAGCAGTTTAAGCTAGTTTTACCTCTAGTTTAAACGTGTCTCACTTATTCTGCTTGGCTAAAAGAACTGACGCTACACTTTTTTCTTTTAGCAAAACGTAGGATGCTAATAAATTAGAAGAATGAGAAATGAGAAATGATTACTGAGAATATATTTGCAGAATACCAGACATGGTCCTGTGTTATACTGAAAACCACGTCTCAAGTC